TTTTTTTTTTAGGGCTTATAAAAATAAATTATGTAATAAAAATATATGTAACAACTGCTGCTATTACTGAAAACTCTACTCTACGAATGTTTTGAATCCTGGACCCAGTTTGAGGTACTGTAAATTTCGAAACTCCCAAGTACGGAAATTTCTCAATTGTTTTTTTTTCCCTATTATTAGCAAACGGATAACCTTTCCCATCTACTCATAAATAGATTTACGTTTTAATGAACGAAATATGACTTTTTGTGCAACTTGCTTGAATTATTAATATAGATAAAGTCACCATTTTCAACCTTCATCAGCATTAATAACAATGTAGAAAAATACTCACAAGTTCTTTGCAGAGTTTAAGGATGAATGCAAGCTGTGCAGGGGCAACACGCTATGCATGGGCAACACGCTGTGCATGGGCAACACGCTATGCAGGGACAACACGCTGTGCAGGGGCAACACGTTATGCAGGGGCAACATACTATGCAGGGGCAACACGCTGTGCATGCATGGGCAACACGCTGTGCATGGGCAACACGCTATGCAGGGGCAACACGCTATGCAGGGGAAACACGCTATGCAGGGGCAACACGCAGTGCATGTAAAAAAAAACTATACGCTAAAAACACCACAACACATTTCTATTAAATAAGTCATTCCCCCCTCCCCCCCCCCCCCCCAACCCACCACTCAATTTTTAAACATCTCAGTTATGTGATTGTATCTCGAAGTTGAAAACAGGAAGCCTTCCTTCAATGCATTTGTAAGAGACCAGATAATAACAGCAACGAAAAAAAACACCACCAACTCGTCTGACAAGCTCAGTTGGATGAAAGACCGCCAGAACTTATTGGAGTGGAAGAGAAGGTCAGGATGATTCAGGATGAGAATTATTGACTTTTTAAATAGATGGGGTTTTCTTTTTCATGCTGGTTTGTAAAATTTGACAAGACTGACGGGTTTGTTTTTCCAGAATTTATTAACATCTGGGTATGCAAATATATAAATATTTATTTTTTTAAAAAAATATTTTTTTTTACCTTCTTCTAAAGTATTTATTTTTTTCTTGACTGTCCACTTTCAACTATTAAAGCCTTTCTTTCTAATCCCATATCCCATAGCTATGGGGATTTTTAAAAATAGATGACGTTTTGGGGAGGGGGAGGAAATTTTTTTGTCATATAACTGTAATTACTCCTAAATTTGGGGGGGGGGGCATTATAAGTGGATATCTTTTAGTACATTTGTGGGAAAACATGTATTTTTTGTAAAAAGTATGTTTTGTTCTTTCATTTATTTATTTCAACCTTTATTACCGAGGTTAAATTTACTTAAATAGCAAAAATCTGAAGGAAAAAAGGGTCACATGAGTAATCTAATATACTAGAAGATATGACCCAGGGGTTACCAGGAAAAATCCCAACAAGGCTACGCCTTGGAGGCACGTATAGACTCGGGCTCCTGATTGAATGCAGTTTTATGTGTGTTTGACTGATACTAGTATTGTTATTTCTGTATTGGGATATCTGCCAAGGACGTCTGCTTTGATTCGGTTACGTTTTGTGTCCCGCCAAACTTTCGGACTTTTGTTGTTTTTTTGCTTTTCTTCGTGGCAAAGCTCAGTGAAATTAACCACCTCCACGGTCAGCCATCTTTTTTTGTCACCACGATCATCACTCAGGCAAGACGATGATACGGTCAGTGACACACCCAGGCCCCACAGAGGCAGAGGCGTAGCGAGGGTGTTTGGCGCCCGGGGACAAGATTAGCGCCCGGGGACAAGATCCATGTTAAAGCGCCCCTTTTTCTTTTTTTCAACTCTCAAACCCATTATTTTCATCAATAAAATAATATCAAAGCACATTTTGGCGCCCCTAACTAGCTGGCGCCCGGGGACATCTGTCTCTCGCCCCCTCACTACGCCTCTGCACGCCTCTTCACATTTCGATGTTTTTAAACCTGTTTCAAAACAGGAGGTAAAAAGTATTGTTCTAAAATCTAAACCTACGTCGTGGTCTTTGAACCCCATCCCTGTTGGCTTAATAATTATATCATTTGCTCCCATCGATAACCCATAAAATCAATGAAAGCTTGTTTTTGTAAGTCAGCGGCCATCAAACCATTGTTTAAGAAACCTGGTGCTTAAGAAGCCTGGTGCTTAAGAAGCCTGGTGCTTAAGAAGCCTGGTGCTTAAGAAGCCTGGTTTTTGGATGAAAATAATTTTATAAAAACTATGGACCTGTATCTAACTTATCATTTTTATCTAAAGTCATTGAAAAACTAGTTGCTTAATTTAGCGACCACTCTGTTCTCAGTCCTAATCAGTCGACCTTTTCACAACACAGAGACAGCTCGCTTGAGAGTAAGCAATGACCTCTTGAGCGAAATGGACAGTGGTAATCTCCATCCTGATACTCTTAGATCTCAGTGCGGCCTTTGACACTGTTGACCATGAAACCCTTTAAAAAAACCTTTGGAATTTCTGGTTCAGTTTTGGCATGGTTTAGGTCCTACCTCTCCAATAGAACGCAAGCGGTCTGTGTCGATGTTTTTACGCGACTGTAATATTATGTAAGATCTATGGCGACTTATTGAAAACCGGCTGCGGATAATTTTCTTCTTCTTCTTGTTATATCTGAGGGGCCCACGATCAATTTGTTGATCATTCTGGCTCCTGGTTTAAATTCAGAGTTTGTCTTCTCTTAGATGGGTTGCCGTACAAGGCTAACGAGTCCCATCCACCCGGGGGGCTTGAGATGTAGGCTTTGGTGGGCATTGAACTCCCGACCACCAGCTATTTGGTTTGAACTAGTTTAGACCGCTCGGCCACCCAGTACCCAGAGTGGATTTTTTTCTGTGGCGACTTACTAATAACTGTCTATGGCGAATCATCTATAATTTTCTGTGGCGACCAATAATTACCCCTGAGCCTGATAGCTAGCTATCGTTATCTCTATTTGTGTTATCTATCCTTTCCTAGTGACGTTGACACCAAAGCTCGATAGATTTGAAGATTGCCTCCTCCCCCCCCCTCCCCAAATTTAAAAAAAAAAAAATTATAATTCTTTGAATTTCTTACGTTATTTCAAATCGTGGTTGGACTTCTTTGAACACACATCTCTAGACTCCCGACCGGGGGGGTTGTTACACCATAAACCACATCAAGTTAAATAAAACTTTTTAAAATTAAAATATTTAGAAAAATACAAATCAAGAGAAGTTTACAGCAATTAAACGCTATAATCACGACTTTATCACGAAAGTCGACCAGACGAGTGTTGGAAAACTATATACAAAGGGGAATAGTCTGAAGGAAAAACCTCATTTTTTTTTACATCAGTTGCTCCCCTCTATATTATATAAAGTAAGAAAAACTTACCAGAAAATGGAATTATATTTGTAACAGTCAACTAATTTGGAAACTCATTTCACGTGAGTATTGAGCTAGATATTTAGACTTAAGTTAAGCATATAAAATCAGAGATATTTAAAAAAAAATGTTTACAGAATTATTATTTTGAAGTCAACAAATCAAAAACTACTGTCTGTTTATTAATAAAGAAGAAAATACAATTATATTCAGTTGTGCAAATATATTTATGAAATTTCTAATCTATTTATGTTTAATAAAAATCGTTATATTATTGATCCCACAGAAAAAAAATAACAACCCAACAACAATTATTGAATAATTGGTATCTACACACACACACAAAAAGACAATGTTAAATCGGACAATCTTAAAAATTATACAAAAAATGTTAATGAAAAATACATTACTCTAGATTTAAAAAATATTTTTATATATGTTAACTACAAAATATGTTTTTTTCAAATAGACAATTTTCAAAATCCCATTCTTAAAATCTTTGATTACATTTAGTATGATTTGTTCACCAAGTTTGATATCCTTTAGGCTATAGTTATCAAAGTTTGACTTATCCTAGAGACTGGATTAACAGTATATGAACTACCAAAGTGTCCATTGGCAACAAGATAATTGTGAGAACCACTGACACGTTCCATTTTCTGTATCCCATTGGACTTCATATTACAAAACTTCAAATGGTGAAACTGAACCATGTACGGCTTAAAGGGAATCTAACAATGAGTGACACAGATATAAGTTACCCTTTATTACTATTCAACTTTTATGTAATATGTATGTATGTATATTTAACGACCATAACATTGTGAGAGAGTTTATACAGAAGCTTTGTGGTCTAACACGACCCTGTGGTCTAATAAGGCCCTGGCTGAAATTAAGTCAACTTCGATAGCTTGCAAGCACGTCTTCATCTTATACAGTTTCTTTGGGAATCTCGTTTCAATGTTTCTAAAATATGTATATTTAGTCAACATGTCACTCTACTATTCTTAAACATATGTAGTCAACATGTCATTTCACTGTTACAAAATATGTGTAGTGAAAATGTCAATTGTTATTTTAGTTAAGTGTAATAGATTTTCATTGCTGGATTAACTCAATTCTAAAAGAGGCTGGGGAAAAAAGGTCAGAACATATTGTTCTAAAAAGCTTTTTGCTCTTAAAATAATTTCATCTTCAATGGGGTTTTTTATTTTAATTATTAAAATTATAAATAGAAAGATACAAGTTCCTTTGACTATAACTGCTGTCAATAGAAATTTAGTAACATTGTCTCACATAAAGCTGAATGTTTCTATTCGTAAATTGACTTAGGATTAATGTCAAATTGGGATTATAAAATAATCATTTCAGCAAGTGTCTATAACATAAATCTAGAATTTTTATGACAGTTTTAAGACTAACATAAAGTTTGGTTACTCTGATCACAACGGTCCAGTTAGTCGTAGGTGGGGGAAATTTTCTGTGGGGAAAAAATAATTAAAAGTAAATGAGTATGATCATAAGTATTTTAAAAACGCTATAATTTCTGCTTTTTTCTAGTATGTTCTAAATTATTTTTTAAATATTCATGATCTCAAAGAACATTGAAATATTATTAATGTAGACATGAGTGCCCGCAGAAAACTTTCTAGGGGGGAGGGGGCAAAAAAATCGATTAACTTTCCAGGGGGGGGGGATCAAAAAATGTAGTAATATTTTAATGTAGTTTTAATTAACTGTAGCGTATTTGTATGGTGAACGAACGGACAGGACATCAGCTTAGTTACGTTCTCTTTATTTTTTCTAAACAAAATTTATCCAATCAATCCGGGGGCTGGGGCAAGTGCCCCCCTTGCCCCCACTTGCGGGCGCCCATGAATGTAGAGATTTATTGTGTAGCTATTGCTATTTTTTGTATGTTTGTGTGTATGTAAAAAATGTGTGGGGGGGAGGGTGAGAAATAACTGTGTCGTAATTATTGTTTAATAGTTAATATGCATAGACTTACGCCCTAGACTAAAACGGAGCTATTCGAACTGCTTATGTCAACATGATTTCGTAACCCAGGAAAAAACATCATTTTGTTAACAATGCTTCACAACGTGTTACTTAAATCGTCTTTGTTGACGCCAAGTGCTGTTTGTAACAACCTCTAATTTTATGAGAACCTTTATTCACTTCAAAAGTTACTCTGCGATAGTCTGGGTAGTAATCGTATTTATAACGTATAAATTAAATAAATTCACAGCAAAATTATGTACTCTTGACAAATATTGTATGACATCATTTTTTATTTTTTTATTTTGGAGTCCTGTCACACTTCTTCTCATTAACTCTCATTGTTTTAGCACTCAGTGTACATCGAAATTCTAGTCTTAACTTAAGACCCCTGTTGCCATACTGTTAACTTATTTCTGTGTCTAAAGAGAGAACCTTCTGTTGCCGTACTGATAACTTATTTCTATTTCTAAAGAGAGAACCAGCTCAGTTCTGGGTATTGACTGAGAAAGGTTGGGAAGCCCTGATCTTAAGGTTATTAATTATGACGATCATTTCATCTATCGTTGTCTTTTCAAGTTTGACAGTGTCTCGTAGACGAAACGAAACGCAAGGGGAGGAAACCCAAACAAAATTACCTGAAGTATGTAAAAGTGTGGAATAAAATTTTTAAAAAAAGCTATTTAAAAAAAAAAGCTTTCTAACAATTAACTATAATGGTGCAATATCATTCTTAATAAATAACGAATGTAATGGTTTGTTTAAATAATATTTTCTTTTGACCCCCGGCCCTCGCCACCTATCTCCCTCCGTACCCTCACCCCGTTCTCAATCGTAAGTTGTTTCAAGTTCCAGCACTGTATATAACAGTCTCCTAGGAGTAACTAGATGGACTTTTGGGGCACTTCTCTAGCAAGGCAACTCACCAGCAGCTGATTGGATTGACTCAGTTGCTTGGGCAGCCTCGAGCATTTTCTAAGTTTAAAATATAAAAAAAAATCAAATCATTAAAAAAAAATCTATTTACTGTCTTTAAAGTTGGTAATGCACATCAATAGCAAATAGAAATATGACCCAAACACTCATGATACAATCATGATACTCATGATACAATGCCTTCATGGTTTTGACATTTTTGTTTGTATTCTTCTGGCGCTACTTCTTTGTCGTCCTCCCCTACCCCCCACCCCCACCCCCACCCCCTAAATATATATGAAATCTCACTTTGCCAATCACTTCCATTTTTTTTAAAAATATGGGCATTCCGTTATTCTCACACCTAGCATTCCGTTATTCTCAAACCTAGCATTCCATTATTCTCACACCTAGCATTCCATTATTCTCACAACTAGCATTCCGTTATTCTCACTCCTAGCCTTCCGTTATTCTCACACCTAGCATTCCGTTATTCTCACACCTAGCCTTCCGTAATTCTCACACATAGCATTCAGCTACTCTCACACCTAGCCTTCCGTTATTCTCACACCTAGAATTTCGCTATTCTCACACCTAGAATTTCGTTATTCTCACACCTAGAATTTCGCTATTCTCACACCTAGAATTTCGTTATTCACACATCAAGTTTTCGTTTTTTTCACACCGAGCACTTCATTATTCTCACATTTAGCGTTTCGCTGTTCACACGCCCATAATTTCGCTCTGTCCACACCCTAGCAGTTCACTATTTTCAAAACAAGCATTTTGCTAACACCATGCTCCACAACCCCATTTCGCTATCCTTAAAACCCAGAATTTCGCTATTCTCACACCCCACATGTGGCTATCCCAGTACTCATCCTTTGACTTTCCTCACACCCATCATTTTGTCATCCTCACACCCATCATTTTGTCATCCTCACACTCATCATTTTCTCATCCTCACACCCATCATTTTCTCATCCTCACACCCATCATTTTGTCATCCTCACACCCATCATTTTGTCATCCTCACACCCAGCAAGACAGTTGTCATCCATTTTGTACTATGCTGTCCTTAACTCGTTCACAAAGTACGTCACTTTATTTTAGGATGGATACATTTCAACATTAAGTGTCGTGTTGCTGACTATGGCCTATGTTTGCATATCTCTTAAACAACATCGAGTGCTTAAGGGATATAAACTCTAACCTTCAAAACTGGGGGCATACAACAACCCCGGGGTCAAACGTCCTAGAGCTGATTCAGGTGAACATTCATATGTTGGACAAGGATCTGTGAACAAGAAATTACAAATTATTTAATATTAGGACTTACTTGTTCATCTTTTGCCAAAGATGGAAAATATTTATTTCAAATTTTTTTCAAGACTACATCAGTTGATTTAAATTGACTGTAACAAATTTACTTTGAGGGTTGTAAGTCAAAGTGATCTTCGTAGAATCAACCGCAAATGCGCTCCCGGTCGTTCTGTTTGATGACGTGTACCACTTGACCCATCCTTGGGGATAGCCTGGGTGTGTCATTTTACAGGTACACGTCGCGGACCTACCGGACTTGATGATACCCTCGGGGCAGTCTGAGCCCAGGGTCAGAGAAGGAGCATCTGCAATGAAACATGATATTCAGATGGGATTTAGAAAATACCAAGTAAGAGGTTTCATTTATACCGTGATAGATGCAGGACAATGTTTCCAAATATACAAAGGGAATCATTTTACATAGATGCCATACTCGGATGTGAACAATGCAAATGGCTGCATGTTTCGGTATTGATTGCGTGAAGCTTGTGTCAAAGAATAAATTAAACTATACGATGCGGTGCTCTGGTTGGCCTACATCGGACACTTCCTTTATACTGACGTTGTTATTTTGAGTGAGCTGAAGAAGGTTCTATGCCGAATCTTTGTGTCCTGTCCTGCAATTCAAGCTTCCACAAACCTCGTTTTGCTATTTCTTTTTGAGTGAATTTGGACAATAGTTTTGTTAATGTAAGGCTGGAAGGTTCACCTTTAGTGTATGCGTAAATGTTCCGCTGAGAGGTAGAGGTTATTCTGCTTTTGTTTTAAACATAAAAATATAATAAAGATTGGGAAACGCGTTCTTACAAATATTTATAGAATTCAGGTATTCAACGTCAGTTGCAGCATTGGGGGCGAACGTCGAAAGTTGAGACGCCATGACCAAAGTGAAGGAGTGCAGCCCAGTCTGGAACCCGGCAAGATGTATGGCGTAGACACATCTGGTCATGTAGTTGCCATCCCCTAAAGACGTGTACGTGTAGCTGGGTGATCCACGCGCCACTAAGTCCCTGGACAGCGTCTGATGACGATACAATGTTATTAGACCTTATTCAATAACTGTTTAGTGATGTCACGAAAATGTAATAATCAAACTCCATCTTTTCCAAATCTCGTTATTCGTTATATATATTTTTTTTAAATGTATTTGACAATTGTGTACAAACTTACACTATTTAAAGTACATGTGGCACGCGGGTAACTGGAAGCAGTTGTACATTTAACTTCCAGAAACGAACGATACGGCGCCCCGTAGTGTCCAAGGGCGGCACCCACACCACACTGGGGCTTGGCCGGCTTCACTTTGGAAATAAACGAGAAATATGATTGTATGGTAATGTAATGATTGTATGCCTACGTAATGATTGTATGGTTACGCAATGAGTGTATGGTTTCGTAATGATTGTATAGCTACGTAATGATTGTATAGCTACGTAATGATTGTATAGCTACGTAATGATTGTATGGTTTAAGTCATGATTGTATGTATGGTTGTAACGGTGAATTCTATGTAAGAGGATACAACGATAACAGGATCGCCGTTGCTCAGAGTTGAAACAATGAAGATATTTTAAAAAATTAATCTATATTAAATGTGTTTGATTTTTGTCTCACTACTTTTTGAAGTAGAAGGTATGCTGTGTGAAGTAGAAGGTATACTTTGTGAAGCATACCATTGGTAGCCACGTCGCTAAAACGTCGTCTCACCAAATGAAATAAAGCTACCACGAGAAGAGAATACACATAAAGATAAGCTAGTTAAAGTATCTGAAGTGGACCGAAATTGCCAACGCCTACTGAACAAAATAGCTCCCCGGGCGAACCGCCCTCTCCATCTTATGTATTCTACGCCCATGGGCGGTGCCAAGTTATAAAATCACCAAATGCATATTAACATCGCCATTCCTAAGTTGATTTAAGAGATATTGGGTAAAAATGAGAAAGAGAGAGAGTGAAAAGAGAAGAGAGTGATGAGAGAATGTGATAAAGAAAGTGAGAATGTAAGAGAGACAGACAGAAAAAAATAATGAGTGAACGTGAGGGAGATGAAGTGAGGGTGATAGTGAGAGAGAGACAGAGAGTGAGCGAGAGGATAATAGAGATGGATTGAGAGAGATAATGTGTGAGAGAATGTTTGTGAGAGAGTGAGAGGGAGTGGAGGAGTGAGTGAGAGAGAAAATTAGAGAAAGATTGAGAGAGAGTGGGAGAATGAAACGGGGAACTATGTAATACATTCTTAAATCTGAAGCAATTCAATTACAAGTCATGAGTTTTATAATGATGTATTTGAATCACGGATGCAGGTATTAAACATTTGAATCGAAGCGCATCCATTTCACCTACCGTAGACTTCCAGTTGGCAAATTTCATTCAAACATCTGAACTTGGTCTGGTTCCGGCTGACCCGTGAAATGGTGAGAATGCTGTCGTATTGTATTTTCCTTGTAGCAGTCCGACCGATATTGGCGCTGAAGGCAGGAGCCATTAAGGTAGTACAATCTTGGTTCGCCTTGCACCTGGACACCTCCTGGAACTGGCCTGACACCTCCAGCTGCCAAACCAAAGCTGTTTTTGTTGAATTAATGCTGCAGGTCAAAGTCACGATGCTACCTTCTTCTACAGGACCAGGGCAGGTCAGACCTAAAGCAAGTTTTTATTCATGAAAATAACAAACAATATTTTACAATCTCACTGGAAAATTGGTCTAATCTCCTGTTCTTCTATAATAGCATTTTGATATTTTAAAACTGTTAAATTGAGGGTGCTAACAATTTAAATCCATGTAATTAACTGTATTTCGTCAAATATTTATTTCTTTAAAAATTGGCAAGATGAGCCATTAAAAATTGGCAAGATGAGCCATTAAAAATTGGCAAGATGAGCCATTAAAAATTGGCAAGATGAGCCATTAAAAATTGGCAAGATGAGCCATTAAAAATTGGCAAGATGAGCCATTAAAAATTGGCAAGATGAGCCATTAAAAATTGGCAAGATGAGCCATTAAAAATTGGCAAGATGAGCCATTAAAAATTGGCAAGATGAGCCATTAAAAATTGGCAAGATGAGCCATTAAAAATTGGCAAGATGAGCCATTAAAAATTGGCAAGATGAGCCATTAAAAATTGGCAAGATGAGCCATTAAAAATTGGCAAGATGAGCCATTAAAAAGTCAAAATTTTCTTGGTCTGGCAGAGCAGAACATTTTTGTAAAAGTTAATCAAAATTTAAAAAACAAGCTTTTCCCATAAATCATATAAAAAAAAATTAATATCGAGCAACTGAGTTGTGGAGGAGCGGGTCTGAAAATCTGACAAGATAGGCATGCCAGGTTTCAACTCGATAGGTTGACAGGAAGTGTGTCAATTGACAGTCCGAATATTTTGCCAGTCACGAACAAAAGCGAAGTTATTAAATAGGATTTTAAAACAACTTGAAATCTAAAAAATTGATTTTGCCCAAATTTTCCCAATTCCATCAAAACTACTGACTCCATCTCGTGGAGACGCACGCATACCAAAGAATGGACAACAAAATTAACTAATTTCTTAACTTCACCGGATTGATTGCGTTGACTCAATGGATCGAGACACTCGTAAGGCAAGGGTTGTTTATAGTTTAAAAAAAAATCATTTGCGAGCTGGAGAAATCATTTGTGAAAGAAAAAAGAATCGCTTTTATTGTTACTTTGATAAATTCGAATGAAGATAATGACTTGACAGCAGCTTTGCAAAAGAACGACTTAATTTTTTTTTTTTTTTAAAGTTTAGGTGTAAATGGTTTTAATGTGTCACTGTCCAGGCAACACAACATCCGTCTTCTATCCAAAGGACATCTTAACCATCTATACCATGTCTTTCCTTGCCAATGCTAAAGTGGGGACTACAGAAGACTGGTGGATTCGTTTTTATTTATGTCGTTAAATTTACTCTAAAAAATTATCATCACTCTGAAAGAAAAGAAAAAGAGACAAAACAACCAAAAACTATACCTTCTGATAAACCTACCGTATGCTAAATCTATATTAATGGTGGCTGTCAGAATCAGGACAACCAGGCACAAACTGCTGGATGATATCATTGTAACGCGTCGATGTATCAACAGCGCTTGTATGTAAAAGAAAACAGGGCGTTTGCTTACTTCAAATGGTCAGTCTCTGGCTCAACTGGTTTTGGACTAAAAAATTTCACAGCTTTTATAGTGAGAACACGACAAAACACGATGGAGTTATGGAAATATTTCTAAGAATGAGTAGGGGAATCCCCCACACGACGGTACGGCTGGGGGTGGTGATGGTAGTTTCTCATTGGGGAATGATGGTTTGAAAATGGGGGGGGGGGAGTTTGACATGGGGGGGTGGGGGAGGGGTAATCTTTTCTCTCTATTCAAAGTGGAAATTTTGTTTGAAATGTCAGAGTGCTGCCCTCCCGGATACAACTTTTCAGCTAAGTGCTTTTTCATGGATCTGAGATGTTGATTCTAGCCCTCCCCATTTTCCCTTGCATGTTTTTCAAGATTCCTTGCTCCCAAACAAGCGGGGTTGAGAAAAAATAAGATGAACTTGTATGTGTTTGCTATTCCTCTTATGTGTTTGCTATTCCTCTTATGTGTTTGCTATTCCTCTTATGTGTTTGCTATTCCTCTTATGTGTTTGCTATTCCTCTTATGTGTTTGCTATTCCTCTTATGTGTTTGCTATTCCTCTTATGTGTTTGCTATTCCTCTTATGTGTTTGCTATTCCTCTTATGTGTTTGCTATTCCTCTTATGTGTTTGCTATTCCTCTTATGTGTTTGCTATTCCTCTTATGTGTTTGCTATTCCTCTTATGTGTTTGCTATTCCTCTTACAAGGAAGTTAAATGGTTTTTGGATTCAGTGGATCATGCTGAAATACATCAAATTTTTAAAACGATGAAATTTCAATCAAAGTTTTCCAATTAACACCATTTTATTATATATGTTACTGGCAATGTGTGAAGTCCGGCATTGTATAGAATGCCTAGGAATTAAATAGAGTGCCTGAAATTTGTATGCAAAGTATAAAATGGTTTTTATTTCACACATTTCCTAGGCATTCTAAACAATGCCGAGGAGCGACCCGGCAATGTATAAAATACCCCGCCATTCATGTTTGATTCTTTGCTCGGCGATGCCCAACCCCCTGACGTTTTGCAAGACATACAGACAGGAAGAACTCGACAAAATAATAGACAGCGTTCAAACAACAAGGCAGGAAGCAGCAAATCACCAGATGCAATATACAGAGTCTACTACACAGCATACTTAAGACAAGATACAGAGTCTACTACACAGAATACTAAAGACAAGTTACAGAACCGACTACCTAGAATACTGAAGAGAACGCAACCAATATTGGAGAAAACCAAACTGATTTTGACGTCATGGTTACCGAAGATCCTTCCACTTCTGCTGCTTTTTTGTGTTTGTTTAAAAGAAAGCAACTGTGCCCATACGTGCCGAAACTGTCGCCGTAATGTTCATGTGATCTATAGGAATGCTGCTTACGACGAAGGAGACGAGGAAATAGAAGGTTCTGGTGTTGGTATTTTGTGCAACCTATATTTCAAGATTAAGAGAGCTGTAGAATTAAGCTAGAGAAGAATCTAAATCGAACCTTGAAATCCAGCCCCACCCCCACCCCCCCAACCCCCACAAAAAAGATGAAACTAAACTCTTTAGGGGATACTGTGTCCTATTCCTGACACTGACAAGTGTCGGACTCGCGCAAACTATTTGCAGTTGTTATGACAGTGACGGAAGATGGCTTTGACCGATTTGGAACTGCACAAGGAATCTTGAAACTACTGTATGCGAGATCACAGTTCGATGTGTGCCCAAAAAACTTATTGAGAGTTGAAAACGTCCCTGCAGCGCGCGCACGCACACACACGCCGACACACACACACACACACACACACATACAAACAAACGGACAGAGTAACGTAAACATTGTGTACTAAAAATGGCATCAACTCTCCATTTTCATTTTCCTTTTGACAAATGTTCAATATTAAACATTACTTACACGCTGCCCACTAAATGATTTCTAATCCTCCATTTGTGTCTATATTTGTTATGCGCCAACTAAAATGTTTCCCCCGGAAGCATCATGCTATGTGACCCACCCTTTGCGTAAACCTTACCCCGGATGTTACTTTGGTTACTTTATGGACCCGACCAACAAAACAAATAGGAGAAACTAGAACAAACGACTGCTTCGATTCCTGGGAAAATAAGATGGCCTTGGCCTTGGAGTTTTGTGTTTGCGTATGATGCATAAAAAGGTTTGTACCTAGACCACGTTTCGACGAAATTTGTTCAAGCCAGATCAAAGATTGGGGTACTGTAAACATTTAAACTTGTAACGCAAGAATTTTTAAATGAAAAAAAAAATCTGTTTTCAGCAAATAAAATGACATTTCCCTTCTCCACAAGAATATCTTTATATTTATATTTGAATGAATGAAAAAAATGTCCTTTCGTGTAACTTGCTGGACTTATTTACAATTTTTTTTTTTACAAAGGGCGAGTGACATTAAGAAAGTCACCGAAGAAGTTTTGATAGAAACCTCTCAGCCATTGTAATAGGCTGCGGCTATTCGGACCCGGGTACCAGGAGTGGGAAGTTGAGATTAAAAAAAAAAGAATATTTAAAATATTATCGTTGGGTTTGTAAGACAAAATGAGGTATCAGGTGAAAGATAATTGAATGGGCTGTATGTTTGTAAACCTACTTCTTCAGTTTAATTAAAATAAACTACCACAAATGACATCCGAATAGCATTGAGTCTAATGGTACCCGGGTGCGAATGGTGGCGCTGCGTGTCTGGGTCCATTTTGTAAAGTATATGTCAGATGCCTTCTTCGGCAGATAGGACAATTCTGTGGATGTTCTGGTTGGTGCCTTCTTCGGCGGACAGGCCAATTAAACAGATGCTTTGGCCGGATGCCAAAAATATCTTAAAATGTAGAGGGTAAAGAATATCTATAAAAAAGAGAAATGCTATTTTGATAGTGAATGACTTCGAGGGACGTTCAAGTTTAAGTTATTATTTTTTTTTTTGGTGGTGTTAGCTTTTCGAATAAACCTTTCTTCAGAACGTTGCCTTGTCAAACATCTTTGGAAGCGAGGTTTTCGGTGCGCTTTTGTTGGCCGCACGTATTTTAAACATAGATTTGTTCTATGTGCTTTCAAAAAAAAACCCAAAAAAAGACACGGTACCTTTGTACAGGTCCGTGAATAAAAGGTTCTTTGGGTGTGCCTAAATGTTTTACAGTCGTGGGGGTCTTCTTTTTCATATATTTTTATTACCAATTTTATATAGCAAATGTGTGTGTGTGTGTGGAAGGGAGAATGTTAAGTTTGGGATTTAGAGAGGGAGCCGGTCGGTGGAATCGATGCACAAAAAAAAACCTTGGCTGCCCTTTCCTTTTGTAATAGAATAAGAATACCGCCTAGGCAAATTTGGTACCGATCGAAAGCGGTGGCCTATGTATTTTCTATGGGTATGGTTCACTAAATGTCCAGACATAATCCTTGCAGGAACTCTTATTCGCTAATCCATAAAATTTTCTTTGAAAACCGGTTTCTGATTGGTCGACGCATATTATTTTGTTCTTTTTCCGCGCTCAATACTTTATCGGCTAATTTTAGGTTTGACCCAGATTAAACTAAAGTAGAACGAATGTTGAGCTACGTTAAATTTGATAATATCGTTGACCTACTGCATAGTTATTATACGAAACAGTGATACATGTACAAGTGTTTTATGCGTATGTAATTAAGGCTATTTTATTCCTAATTATATATACTAGTAATAAATAATTATATATTTTTAAAAAAAATATTACTAGCAGTGACATTATTCTCTTTCTTGACCTTTGTGTGCATACACGTGACCAAATTTCTTGGAATATTTTTATTTCGTCCAGGACAATGTTAACCAACAAGACAATGATTAACTTCAATAAAAGAATACATAAAATAAGCCTAAGATTCCCATATTAAAGAACCTAAGACCTAAGCAGTCTCACGTCCGGTTTAACGTCTAAGATCACTGCTACTAGTGACCCAGTACTATTCGGCTTTCTCTCAGGTCGATTTAGCAAGACATCGTCACAGCCTTCAAAACTCGCAGCATTTTATCTTTAGCAGTCTTTCGTTTATCGGCAGTTCTCTTAAAAGTTAGAGGCGTTCTCGGTGTAAACAACTCGTCCTGGAGAGTAAATAATAAAAACATAACAGTAGTAGGTTGAATTAAAAAATCTATATGAAAAATGGATTGTTTAAAAATAATACACAAAGTTAGATCCTGTCGAATTAACTATAATCCCAATGTTTAAATGAAATATTAACAGCGCGAAAGTTTATTGAGACATTTTTAGAAACCTAAATATCAATACATAGATACTTCTTTTTAAAGTTAAGAATTGTGATGAGTTTTTGCAATTGCAAGTAGAATGATTATGGCAAAGAACCTACCTTTATTATCCCGATAACATCGGGTCCTTTATTCTAGTATATAAAAGAGGAGAAATAAAGAGTACTTTTTTTTTTTTAAATTTAAACTAAAACACTTTCTGTCTGTGTGGGGCATGCAAGACATGCCGGGTACTCGATGGTGTATTTGTGTGTCGTACAATTCATTTTTTTCTCATTCCGAATCATCTTTTCTGACACATGTAGCTATAATTTCCTGGTAGTTGAATAACTTAGCAAGGCATCATGCAATTTTAAGCCCAGGGTGACATGAATCCTAAATCACCAATACTATGGTCATCATATGGCAATAGCTATCTACCAGTAATAATAATGTTTAACATATGCCATTGGCGTTTTCATGTCATACGTGAGGAAGACACTACAAACAATTGAAAAATGAAAGGTTTTGTATTCCCTTTTATAACTACATGAAGAGCAGCAACAAAATTATCACACGAAATATTCTCTCTAATAAACTGTTGTCATCTCATCAAAAATTGGAGATATTTCATAAATTATTACAGTATGATTATATTAAAGTCAACAAAACAAAAACTGCTATTTGTTTATTAACAACGAAGGAACTACAACTGTATGCAAGTTGTGCAAATATATTTATAAGTTGTCTAATATATTATTGTTCAATTAAAATGTTAAATGATTGATCATACACAAAAATAACAACAACTCATCTACAATTATTGAATAATTGGTATGTACACACAAAAAGGCAATGTTAACTTGGAAAATCTTTAAAATTTTACAAAATGTTAATGAAAATTACAGAACTATTAATTTAAAAAAAATTTTTTTAGATATGTTAACTCAGAAATTTTTTTATTTTTAAATTTCATACTAACGATTTTTGTCCCAAAAGACAATATTCAAAATCCAATTCTTAAAATCTTTCACTACATTTGACTTGAGCCATTTCATTTGAATTGAGCCATTTCATTTGACTTTAGCCCTTGCATTTGACTTGAGCCATTTCATTTGACTTGAGCCCTTGCATTTGACTTGAGCCATTTCATTTGACTTGAGCCATTGCATTTGACTTGAGCCATGTTTGATTTTCTTTAGCCTATATTTATCAAAGTCTGTCTTATCTTAGAGACCAGATAAAAAGTATATAAAATACCAAAGTGTCTATAGCAACATGAGAATAGTGAGAACCACTGATACGGTTCAGTGCCTGGATCCCCTGGGACATCATACTATGAAACTTAAAATGCAAGGGAATCTAATAATGAGTGACAAAATTTATGTCACTGTTTATTATTATTAAACATGTATGTCATATTACAATATTATTATATGAGCCAGTGTCCATAACAGAAATCTAGAATTGTGTGACAGTTCTAAGACTAACAGAAAGATTGATTACTGTGATCTCAACGGTCCACTTAGTCGTGGGGAGTGAAATTTTCTGTGGACAAAAATAATTAAAAGTAATAAAGTATGACAATAAGTATCAAAAAATATCTAAACACTATGATCTATGCTTTTTTTGTCAGCTAGCTCTAGATAAATATTTTAAATATATTCATGATCTCAAAGACCATTGAAATATTATGTGCAGATTTTGTGTAGCTTTTGTTGTTGGTTTGTTGTGAGTTTTTTTGTTGGTTTTTTTTTTGTTTGTTTTTTTTTGGGGGGGTGGAGGGGGATGAGAAATAACTCTGCCCGTAATAATCGTTTAATAATTTAACGCAGAGAGAGAGGGAAAGACCATTGAAATATTATGTGCAGATTTTGTGTAGCTTTTGTTGTTGGTTTGTTGTGAGTTTTTTTGTTGGTTTTTTTTTTGTTTGTTTTTTTTTGGGGGGGTGGGGGGGGATGAGAAATAACTCTGCCCGTAATAATCGTTTAATAATTTAACGCAGAGAGAGAGGGAGGGAGAGTGATAGGGGAGAGAGAAAGGGAGAGGAGAGAGAGAGAGATAAAAATTAGGACTGAAACGAGCTTCCAAAAAGGAACAGTTGAGGCATCAACACTTGACACATTCACGTCTATTGTCTCTGGCGTTCCAACCGTCAGGCAGCGCTTGCAACCAGTGATATATCCTCTTCAATAACAGGCGCACAAACTTTGCGAATCGCCTCTACATACGACATAGGAGCCAAAACGATCTCTACATTGATCGTAGGCCCTTGATATATAGAAGAAGAAGAAGAGAGAGAGCGAGAGAGAGTGAGAGAGAAAGATTAAGAGAGAGAGAGAGAGAGAGAGAGAGAGAGAGAGAGAGAGAGAGAGAGAGAGAGAGAGAGAGAGAGAGAGAGAGAGAGAGAGAGAGAAAAAGAAAGAGAGAGAGAGAGAGAGAGAGAGAGAGAGAGAGAGAGAGAGAGAGAGAGAGAGAGAGAGAGAGAGAGATTGGAAGGAAGAAATCATGCTGAGCAGTTGTAAATAAAGAACCTTAAGAAATATTAGTCTTGGTGTTGTTGCTAACTGTGTGATGAGACTTACACAATTACGACCTAGACTAAACAGGAGCTACTAGAACAGCTTATGACAACAGCAGGATTTCGTAACACAGTAAAGACATAATTTTGTTAACAATACTTCCCAACGTTGTATTTAACTCATCTTTGTTGGCACTAAGTGCTGTTTAAAACATCCCTTAATTTTTTTATAAACCTTTACTCACTAAAGGAATGAATCTGCGAGATTCAAGGGAATATGAAATTTGTTGCCTATACATTACATAAATACTCCTCGAAATTAGGTACACTTGAAAAATAATTTAATTTTTTTTTTTTTGGCGTGGTTAAGCCATGTCACACTTTTTCCCATTACCTTTTTTAGTTTTATCAGCGAGTGTACATCGAAACTCTAGTCTTACCTTAAGACATATGTTGCTGAATTTATTTATATCTCTAAACTTAAGACCTCTGGGGGTCGAACTAATACCTTATTTCTGTGTCTAAACACGCCGTAATGATAAATTATTTCTATGTCTTAATTAAGACCTCTGTTGCCGAACTCAAGAGAGAAGATTGTTTTATATCAGAACTTTACTATCTTTACTAGTGGTGAATAAAGTTGTTGTTTTTTTCCAACTCCCTTCTGGGTAGTGAATAAAAAAGTTTAGAAAGCGCTGATCTAAAGGTTATTAATTATGGCGATCATTTGCTTTATCATTGTCTTTCAAGTTTGTCATTGTCTTTCAAGTTTGTCATTGTCTTTCAAGTTTGTCATTGTCTTTCAAGTTTGTCATTGTCTTTCAAGTTTGTCATTGTCTTTCAAGTGTGTCATTGTCTTTCAAGTTTGTCATTGTCTTTCAAGTTTGTCATTGTCTTTCAAGTTTGTCATTGTCTTTCAAGTTTGTCATTGTCTTTCAAGTTTGTCATTGTCTTTCAAGTTTGTCATTGTCTTTCAAGTTTGTCATTGTCTTTCAAGTTTGTCATTGTCTTTCAAGTTTGTCATTGTCTTTCAAGTTTGTCATTGTCTTTCAAGTTTGTCATTGTCTTTCAAGCTTGTCATTGTCTTTCAAGTTTGTCATTGTCTTTCAAGTGTGTCAGTGCTTACGGGAAAAGCGGAACGCAGCGAGGAAAAAAACAACAACAAAATTACCTGAAGTATATTAAAGTAAGGATTAAATATATTCATGTATGTAAATATGATATGTATGTAAATATAGATATGTATGTAAATATAGACATGTATGTAAATATAGACATGTATGTAAATATAGACATGTATGTAAATATAGACATGTATGTAAATATAGACATGTATGTAAATATAGACATGTATGTAAATATAGACATGTATGTAAATATAGACATGTATGTAAATATAGACATGTATGTAAATATAGACATGTATGTAAATATAGACATGTATGTAAATATAGACATGTATGTAAATATAGACATGTATGTAAATATAGACATGTATGTAAATATAGACATGTATGTAAATATAGACATGTATGTAAATATAGACATATATATTTTTTTTTAATTGTTCGTCCGTCGAGGATCGACGAGGACCATCGAGTCGTCTGGTGACTGATGACTTGCGCGGGTGACTTTGTTTAAAGTGAAGAGGAGTTGCGTGGCGTCTACCTCACTCTCTCGTCCGAGCCCACCATATCCAGTGGCAGGACTCGTCAGGACGACCAGGGATGGGTTCGGTTGCAGGATTTGTCATTGTTTGCGCCTTACTGGACTCCAACTCCGGGTTTGAATTCAGAGTTTCCTTCTCTTAGATGAGTTGCCGGACCAAGGTTAACGAGTCTCAGCCACCCGGGGTGATGTTTTTGCTTGACTGGCCTTTGGCTGGACTTGAACACCAGACCACCAACTTGAGGTTTGCTCCATTTAGACAATTTGGCCACCCAGCCAGCATATATATATGAAGGGTTCAAGGGAAAAACCAGTGATGTCAGGTTTTGAGAGTTTTGAGAAAATTGATAATGAAGTTTGAAAATTACTCATAAAAGTATAAAAATGACAAAATGTCAAAATTTCTAAATATTTATTGATTGACTACGCTGCTTTTTCAGTTCGACCAATGTGTCATAATATTCTAATGAATGGAATTTAGCCACACGGGAGATAACTTGCAAATTTCGAAAAGCTGACATCACTTCATATTTATATATATATATATATATATATATATATATATATATACAGAGAGAGAGAGAGAGAGAGATATATATTAAAAAAGCGTTCAAACAATTAAAGATAAGGGTGTAATATATGATTGAATAGCGATTTTAAACGGTTGGTGTACAATAGTGTACATATTATTTTGTGTTTACCCCCCCCCCCCTGTCCCCATTTTTTTTCATCCCAATTCTCAATCGCACATTTTCAGGAGAAGCCACTGTATACAATTGTCTTTTAGGAGAAATCAAATGGACTTTTTAGGGGGCACTTCTTTAGCAAAGACACTCACCAGCTGCGCTTCTGATGCTGTTTACGACACTTCCTGGGTAAACCCCGTTTGTGGCAGTAGAAACTCGCGGTCTGGATGCTAGAGAGAGAATAAATAGCATACAACTCTTCAACCCAAATGTTCTAATTAGTTTGACCGATTTTTTAGGTACCATTGATCTAAATGGAGCAAGAAAATACAAGGAACTTTTTTTTCTAAAAAAATCAGAACAGACAATGAATAAAGTACTAGTTGCTTCTGTGTGTGTGTGTGTGTTTGTTTCTTTTTAAATTTTAATTCTGATTAGCAAGAATGGGGCTTGCTAAATGCAATATCTTTGATTTGGTGTGCATGTGCACGCTTTATAAGGCTACCAATATCATGTGTCTGTTTCCTTAGTACTGAAATAAATTACGATTTGGAAATTATACGTCCTTCTAAATTCTGCTGAGTATACAAAATTCTCTTAGAAGTCTATTCTAATGGTTAAATAATTAGTTGTAGACTTACCCTGTGTGTAGAGTGTTTGATCCCTGTTGTACGCAGAACTGCTGTCAGAAAGCTGGTCTAAAAAAGGTAATAAATAAAAGAACAGTTCCAACAGAATAAGTTACTGTAACAAATGTCACTAAAATAGAGGGGGGGGGGGGTTCAAATTTTTTTTTAACAATCATTGACAATATTCTCACCATAGATTCCCACTCTGGCAACACCAGGTTCCGAGTCGAGCTCAGCAGATTTTATGCTGAGAACACCAGATTCCATGGATCGGACGGCTGAAAATATAGTGTGGGGTAAAAAAACAACTTTAATGGGGCACATTTATTTACGCGCTCCTTACACCTCCCCCTTTTTTTTCACTCAGTCAGACAATAGTACATTTATCTATCTATCTATCTATCTATCTATCTATCTATCTATCTATCTATCTATCTATCTATCTATCTATCGATCTATCGATCTATCTATCTATCTATCTATCTATCTATCTATCTATCTATCTATCTATCTATCCATATATCTACCTAACCTGACATTAAGCAGCCTGGATCTTTCACTTAGTTGACAATGTTAGCTTATAATGTTTCGTAAAAATTAAGTTTATTTATCCCCCCTGTCCGATTTACTTACATCCATGTTTTTGAGAGTAAGTTACATCTGTAGTTGAAGATGAAGTAATTGAAGGTGCAGTAGTTGAAGGTGTGCTCCCTCTTCTTGGAATTTTTGTACTCTTCCACCCTCTTCTCTTGATCAAGATAAAGACAATACCGCCCAGGATGAGAGCAATTAAGACGCAGCCGACTGTGACTGATATTCCAATAATCAAATCTGAGGAATTGTCCTGGCTGATCGGAATGACTCTGTTGCTTGGACAGCCTCCAGCATTCTCTACATTGTAAATATTTTTAAAAAAATATATCAAAAAATATATGTAAATACTTTTTATAAAGCTGGTAATTTGCAGCATTAGCAAAAAAGAAATGCTGTTGGCATTACTTATTTCTCCAACCCAAAATATGACATCTCACTTTGCAAACCAATCACCTTATTTTTCAAACCCGAGTATTTCATTATTACCAACCTCCAATAATTCACTATTCGCACAAATAGAATTGCGCTATTCTAATAGCCCATCATTCCGCTATCACTTACTCATCATTTTATTATCCCGAACACCTATTATCTATTCGCCATCATCACATTAAGACCGACCGAATTTCAGCTTCGGTTTCGGTTTCGGCACTAAAGTTGCCGTTCGATAACTTTGGGCATAGGCCGAAGCGGAAATGTTAACGTTCGGTTTTTTATCGATTTTGACCGTAACAGAAAATTAACTTCGTTTTTTTCTCGGTTTCCTCCGAAAAAGATTGAGACTCGTCTGCCACCTGGTCAAAAGTGATTGAGGCTTTCGGGCGTCTACCAGAATTCAGACGGTCGTGCTTTAGACCAACTATCCGATATTAATTTTTGCTCGACGTCTTACTGCCGCATGTTTTATGACTACTCCTCTGCGAAAACTGCTCACAGCTGCATCAAGACCTACTTTTCAGTTGTTTCCAAAAATTAAATTTTAATTAGGTCTAGTCAAAGTTAAGTAGTTTTCTGGAGAGACAAAAATTATGGGAATAGAGTATTAAATGCACTCACGTGTGTATGCATCACTGGTTCGTATAGTAATTGTGTAGTAGACCTAATGCAGAAAGGTTTACTCTTACGGTTTAGGCTTTCGATTGAGATGTAATTAAATGTGTAAAATTGTAAAATGCAAAGGGCACTCAATTGTCTATTTTGTCTATTTTGCATGAATTTGTCCCTCCCCCCAATCAAAATTTTCTCTTATCCCACTAATTTCAAATAAAATGTTAACAATTTTAAATTAGTTTTTAATTTAAATGGTAAACGTTAAGATATTTCTGAGATGTTTATTGATTAATATTCACGATAATCTTATTTTTTTAAGAAAATAATGTAAATATGGATACTTTCGCTATCTGTTTTTCTATGTATGCAGAATGTATGCGGGAACGAAATTTAAAATATCTTAAACTTTTGGTTTCCGCTTCTGTTTCGGCCGAAAGTCATTTTTAACTTTCGGTCTGGTTTCGGACGAAATCAGAGAATCCCTTTCGGTCGGTCTCCACCCCACACCCTGCAAGACAGTTAGCACACACTATTTAAATGATGCTGTACTTAAGACTTTCAATAAAACATTTTTTTTAAAATACGTCACTTATTTTGAAAGAGGAATAAATTTAAACATTAACTCTCCCGTTCCTGGATCCTCTATGATATGATAGTCTCTTAAATAAACATGAAGGAGTAAAGGGAGATAACTCTGACCTTCAAAACTTGGGGCGTACGACAACCCCGGGGTCAAGCGTCCTAGAGCTGATTGAGGGGAGCATTCAAATGTGGGACAAGGATCTGTGAATCAGTAAGTACAAATTATTACATATAAGAATGTAATTTTGATATTTTTCTGAATATGGAAAATATGTATTTCAAAATTCTTCTAAGACTGGACCTGGTCCGACAGTACTTAAATTGACAGTAAAAAATTTACTTTGAGGGTTGTAGGTCAAAATGATGGTCTTAAAATTATCACCAGATGCGCTGCCGATCGATCTGTTTGATGACGTGTACCACTGGACCCATCCTTCTGGATAGCCTGGATCTGTCATTTTACAGGTACACGTCGCGGACATACCGGACTTGATGATACCCTCGGGGCAGTCTGAGTCCAGGGTCAGAGAAGGAGCGTCTGCAATAAAACATGGCATTTAATTAGGATTTAGAAAATGCCAGGGGGGGGGAGGGTTTGCTTTATACCGTGATAGTCAACAAAACACGTTATGTTAGATGCTGGAATATGTTTCTAAATAAACAAAAGGAATCATTTACATAGATGCCATACTTGGATGTGAACACTGGGAAATGGAAGCCTGTTTCGGTATTGATTGTGAAGCTTGTGTCAAAGAATACTTATGACTATAAACTACGGTCCTCTGGTTGACCTACATTGGACACTTTCTTGATACTAAAATGGTGATGTTGGACGATATTTTTTGTTAAAGTAAGGCTGCAAGATTATTCACCTTTAGGGCAGACGTAACGGTGTCATTGAAGGTGGAGGTTATTCTGTAGAACTTGCACAAATTATATTTAACTTTAATAAATTGTTATTCGATCTTACAAATATTTATAGACTGCAGAGTTTCAATGTCAGTTGCAGCATTGGGGACGAACGTCGAAAGTTGAGACGCCATGACCAAAGTGAAGGAGTGCACACCAGTCTGGAAGCCGGCAAGATGTATGGCGTAGACACATCTGGTCATGTAGTTACCATCCCCTAACGGCGTGTACGTGTAGCCGGGTGATCCACGTGCCACCAGGTCCCTGGACAGTGTCTGCAGACGATAACATTTTATTAGGCCTTATTCAATAGTTGTTTAGTGGTGTCACGAAAATGTAATAATCAACCTTCACCTTTTCTAAAGTTCGCTATTTCTTCTTTTTTATTTTAATTTTGTATCAATTGTGTACAAACTTACACTATTTAAAGTACATGTGGCTCGCGGGTAACTGGAAGCAGTTGTACATTTAACTTCCAGAAATGAACGATAAGGCGCGCCGTAGTTCCCGAGCGCAGCAGCTGCATCACAATAGGGCTTGGCCGGCTTCACTGGAGATAAATGTGACATAATGACTGTATGGTTAGGTAATAACTATATGCTTACGTAATGATTGTAGGGCTTACGTAATGATTGTATGGTGAATCCTAAGTAAGAGAGTACAGGAATAATTGGATCTCCGTTGATCAGAGTTGAAATGTTAGAATGTTTAAAAAATATATCCAATAATAAATCAACAGTAAATGTGTTGAATTTTTTACACTAAATAAAAAATATTGTTTTTTTAAAGTAATAAGTATTATGTATAAAACAGACAGTTGCTGGCCTTCTCACTAAAATTTCGCGTATCTGATCATACAATTGTTGGTCTTCTCGCTAAAACGTGGCATATCTGATCATACAATTGTTGGTCTTCTCGCTAAAACGTGGCATATCTGATCATACAATTGTTGGTCTTTTCGCTAAAGCGTGGCATATCTGATCATACAATTGTTGGTCTTCTCGCTAAAGCGTGGCATATCTGATCATACAATTGTTGGTCTTCTCGCTAAAGCGTGGCATATCTGATCATACAATTGTTGGTCTTCTCGCTAAAACTTCGCGTATCTGATCATACATTTGTTGGCCTTCTCGCTAAAACGTTGCGTACCTGATCATACCACACTCTATATCGCTAGCAGCTGACCACTGTTACAAACAGTCTTTATTAGGATTTTTTTCTGGTTGTTGGTTTGGGGCGCGGAGAGAAGTAGCCGCACTGTTTTTGAAAAGCGTTTTCTCCGCGAAAGATGACAAGTAGCAGATCGCAGTCTCCCATAATTTTGTCTCGCCGAATTAAATAAAAGTACAATGTAAAGGTAATACACAAACAATAAGCCACTTAAAGTTTCTGAGGTGAGCCTAAAATGCCACCACCAGTAAGTAAGAAAGAGTGGAATAGCATTTGTGAAAGCACGAGAGATTGTAAGATATGGTAGGAAGAGAGGATGAGTGAAAAGGAGAAAAAAGATAGAAAGAAAGTGAGATGACGTGGGATAGAGAGAGAAAGTGCAAATGATGGAAAATTAGAGAGAGGGAGAAAGAGGAAGGGAGTGAGAATGCAGAAATGTGAGAAAAAGCGTGAAAAATGTTTAATTTGTTAAATTATTAGAAAAGTAATGAGATTAGGAGAGAGGGAAATCAAGAGACATGGTGGGAGATAAAGAGAGAAAGTGTTAAAGTGTGTATGAGAGAGAGTGAGAATGGCAGTGAAATACCTTGAGAGAAATAAAGAAAGAACGAAAGTGAGAGAGTTGAAAAACAGTGAGTGGAGATAGGAAGAGAGAACGAAAGTGAGAGAGTTGAAAAACAGTGAGTGGAGATAGGAAGAGAGAACGAAAGTGAGAGAGTGGAGAAACAGTGAGTGGAGATAGGAAGAGAGAACGAAAGTGAGAGAGTGGAGAAACAGTGAGTGGAGATAGGAAGAGAGAACGAAAGTGAGAGAGTGGAAAAACAGTGAGTGGTGATAGGAAGAGAGAACGAAAGTGAGAGAGTTGAAAAACAGTGAGTGGTGATAGGAAGAGAGAACGAAAGTGAGAGAGTGGAGAAACAGTGAGTGGAGATAGGAAGAGAGAACGAAAGTGAGAGAGTGGAAAAACAGTGAGTGGTGATAGGAAGAGAGAACGAAAGTGAGAGAGTTGAAAAACAGTGAGTGGTGATAGGAAGAGAGAACGAAAGTGAGAGAGTGGGAAAACAGTGAGTGGAGATAGGAAGAGAGAACAAAAGTGAGAGAGTGGAAAAACAGTGAGTGGTGATAGGAAGAGAGAACGAAAGTGAGAGAGTTGAAAAACAGTGAGTGGTGATAGGAAGAGAGAACGAAAGTGAGAGAGTTGAAAAACAGTGAGTGGTGATAGGAAGAGAGAACGAAAGTGAGAGAGTGGAAAAACAGTGAGTGGTGATAGGAAGAGAGAACGAAAGTGAGAGAGTGGAAAAACAGTGAGTGGAGATAGGAAGAGAGAACGAAAGTGAGAGAGTGGAAAAACAGTGAGTGGTGATAGGAAGAGAGAACGAAAGTGAGAGAGTTGAAAAACAGTGAGTGGAGATAGGAAGAGAGAACGAAAGTGAGAGAGTTGAAAAACAGTGAGTGGAGATAGGAAGAGAGAACGAAAGTGAGAGAGTGGGAAAACAGTGAGTGGAGATAGGAAGAGAGAACGAAAGTGAGAGAGTGGGAAAACAGTGAGTGGAGATAGGAAGAGAGAAAAAGCACCAGCTAGAGAGACAAATGGTGGCGAAAGAAATAGAGAGAGGGAGAGAGGGAGAGGGAGATAAGTGTATCTATCTCACCTACCGTAGACTTCCAGTTGGCAAATTTCACTCAAACATCTGAACTTGGTCTGGTTCCTGCTGACCCGTGAAATGGTGAGTACGCTGTCGTACTGTGTGTTCTTTGTACCACTTGGATCAAGGGTGGCGCTGAAGGCAGGAGTCATTGAGTTGGTACAATCTTGGGTCACCTGACACCTGGACACGTCCTTGAACTGGCCTGACACTTCCAGCTGCCAAACAAAATCTGTTGCTGTTGACTCAGTGCTGCACGTCAAGTACACGGTGCTACCTTCTTCTACAGGACCAGGGCAGGTCAGACCTAAAGCAAATTTTGTTCATGAAAATTTCGAACGTTTCACAATCTTACTGGAGAATTGGTTAAATTACTGTTTATTTCTGTCGTTAATTTTTAAAAAAATTGACATTACTTTTCTCTGCGAGAAAAATATACGATATTCCGTCTTTTAAAAAAAAAACTATACTTTATCCTCAACCTACCGTATGATAAATCTATATTATTCGTCGCTGTCAGAATCAGGATAAGCAGGCTCAAACTGCTGGATGATATCATTGTATCGCGTCGATGGATGAACAGCGCGTGTATGTAAAAGAAAACAGGGCGTCTCCTTACTTCAAATGGTCAGTCTCTGGCTCAACTGGTTTTGGACCTAACATCGCACAGCTTTTATAGTGAGAACACAACAAAACACGATGGTGTTATGGAAATGTTTCTAAGAATGAGTAGGGGAATCCCCCCACACGAGGGTACGGGTGGTAGTTACCCATTGGGGGGGGGTTGCTGGTTTGAAATGGGGAGGGGTGACATGATGGGGTATCATTTCTCTCTATACCAGGGGGTCTCCAAACTTTTCAGCCGATGGCCGCATTAACTATCAAACAGCAGTTAGGGGCCGACTACACACTCGAGGTCCAAATAAAAAAAATCAAAACATGGATGTTGTTTTTAATCATTTATGTAATATTATTTCATTCAGTTATTATTTATAACACATTGATACACGACACATGAACACCTGTATTAGTGGGAATGTTGAAATTGTTTCCTGGATGCCAAAATAGCAGTGATTAGCAGACATTTCTGGATTTAGATTTGATGTCCCTAACATCAACAGTGACCTGAGATTATCATCGGACAAATTTGTTCTCAAATTGTTCTTCACGTATTTCGTTCTTGAAAATGTTTGTTCACACAAGTATGTCATTCCGAAGATTGAAAGGTACATTGATGCAAATGTTTTGAAATTAGGAAAGTCTTCCTTGGGCGAAAACTAGTTAAAAACCCACCAGTCCTTCTTTTAATTTGTCCCTAAGGAGGTCATTTGCTTGCAACTCAATGACCTCAAGGTGCAGTTCATCTGAGCGACTGGCCGCATCAGCTTTAAATGGGTTTAGAAAAAGTCTCACTTCTTCTGCCTTTAAATGCAAGTCAGAAAACCGCTGCTGATACTGCAGCTGGGGATCGTTGACGATCCCGCATACAAATGACGTGAGGAACTCCACAGTTGCTTCAGCCATGAAGACCGTCCACTGCTGAAACTGTGTCAAGTTGTTGGCCTGTACTTGTTCCAAAAAACAAGACGAGTTTGGATCTGAAGGCCTTTAGGTGGGTGTATAGATCAGAAACTAGAGTTTCCTCTCCTTGTAATTTTAGGTTCAGAAAATGTAAATGACTAGTGATGTCTGCATCAAAGACCAATTTCCAAACCCACTCTTCATCAGACACTTATAGCTGTGGCTTGCCTTTACTTTCCAGGAAGTCACCTATTTCCATTCTTAACTTAAATACTCTGCTCAGAACTTTCTCACTATTTAGCCATCTTATTGCTGTTTAATATGGACAATCTTGCGATTCTAACTCTGTATCTTTCAACACGGCTCTGAAATGTCTATGGTTGAGCCCATAAGACCTTTTAATTTCACCATCTTCACCAGATGATTCAGTACGCTGTTAATGTCAACATATTTAGCACACAAAGCTTTCTGCTGAATAATACAGTGCAGGAACATGGGGTGCAGAATTTTTTTCTCATTACACATCTGCTTCACTTGTCCAACCAAGCCTTTCTTTATGCCAATCATGTTATTTCCTCCGTCAACAATTAGGTAACTGAGATTAGTCCAGTCCAAATGTTTTTTTCAACTCATTGAAAATATCCTCTCTGGTAACAGTGTCGTCCATGCTATGTATGGAAGCCAGCTCTTGTGTTATGTTCATGTCTTCATCCACACACCTCTAACGAACACAAGCAGTTGAGAGATGGAACAGCTGTCCAGCGATTCATCCATTGCAATTTAAAATTGGAGTAAACTTGCTTGCATTTTTCGCAATTTGATTCACAATGTTTTCACCCATGTCCTCACCTTGTCTGCATCACGCCGGGCAAAATTCCGCCATTAGATCGCGTTATATCATCTCATTGACTGTCAACGGAATTAGAAAAACTAACCAGTGAATAAGGTTTTGCCAAGTCATGATCAGTTAGAAAACATAACGCACTACTGCGTGCCTCTATTTTAATTCGGTAAAAACATTACGTCCACGTCAGCGGCGTCTGATCTTGGCAGGATACGCCTAGATACATTTCCGTAATTTTTTCCGTAGATAAAAAGGTCTCCGCGGGCCGCATGAGAGGGCCTCGCGGGCCGCATGAGAGGGCCTCGCGGGCCGTAGTTTGGAGACCCCTGCTCTATACAAAGCGGTGGATTTTGCTTGCTTTTAATTGTAATTTTTTTATTTCAACTTTCATTAGCAGAGCTCTAAATTGTTTTCGTTTCATCTCCCTTTCTCCTGCATTCAGCGTCTTAAATATTTATTATATAATAAAGACAAAACAAAACCGGCGTGTCTTTGAAACGTGCTGATCAGTTTCTTGAATCTATAAAAAAAAAATCATTTTGTATTTAGATTCAAAGTGTTTTAATCTCTTATTCCTCACCTTTTATGCTGTTGGTTTTTATTTTCATTAGATTATGTGGGCAAACTTTTAACTCTTATCCTTTCAAAGGGATTAGACGGATGGAAACGAGATTTGAGAGCCACTGTAAACTAATAAAGATAAATCACTGGGTCCTCCCATCCACTTCTTAAAAATTCCAGATTACACATGACAAACATATTACATAACACCATGAGTGAGAAGATCCGTCCAATGGAGTTTTCCCCTTCTGACACAATTTGCACAGTACGTGGTATTTCAAAGGCCACTGGCAAGTGTAAGTATTTCAACATTGTTGTCATGGTACTGAGATGTTTACTTTACCCCCTTTCCCTTTTCTCTAGCACGGTTTTCCACATTCCAGTCTCCCAAAGAAAAGGGTTTGACGAAACTAATATGATCATTTGTTTGTTTGCAGCTAATCTTACACGGAAGTTTAATAGCAATCTGGATTCATTGGAAAGTTTTGAAGAAAGTAAATTTTTTAAAAGACGCAATTCCAATCCAAGGTTTTTTCAAATAACTTCATTTTCTTATATAAACACATCCCATTTTCTTATATCAACACATCCCATTTTCTTATAGAAACACATCCCATTTTCTTATAGAAACACATCCCATTTTCTCATAGAAACACATCCCATTTTCTTATATGAACACATCCCATTTTCTTATAGAAACACATCCCATTTTCTTATAGAAACAAATCCCATTTTCTTATAGAAACACATCCCATTTTCTTATATGAACACATCCCATTTTTTATATGAACACATCCCATTTTCTTATAGAAACACATCCCATTTTCTTATAGAAACACATCCCATTTTCTTATATGAACACATCCCATTTTCTTATATGAACACATCCCATTTTCTTATAGAAACACATCCCATTTTCTTATAGAAACACATCCCATTTTCTTATATGAACACATCCCATTTTCTTATAGAAACACATCCCATTTTCTTATATGAACACATCCCATTTTCTTATATGAACACATCCCATTTTCTTATATAAACACATCCCATTTTCTTATATAAACACATCCCATTTTCGTATATAAACACATCCCATTTTCATATATGAACACATCCCATTTCCTTATATAAACACATCCCATTTTCTTATATGAACACATCCCATTTTCTTATATAAACACATCCCATTTTCTTTTATAAACACATCCCATTTTCGTATATGAACACATCCCATTTTCTTATAGAAACACATCCCATTTTCTTATATGAACACATCCCATTTTCTTATATGAACACATCCCATTTTCTTATATAAACACATCCCATTTTCTTGTATAAACACATCCCATTTTCGTATATAAACACATCCCATTTTCATATATGAACACATCCCATTTCCTTATATAAACACATCCCATTTTCTTATATGAACACATCCCATTTTCTTATAGAAACACATCCCATTTTCTTATATGAACACATCCCATTTTCTTATATGAACACATCCCATTTTCTTATATAAACACATCCCATTTTCTTATATAAACACATAAAAGGAATTTCTTGACATTCATTACGCTAAAGAACTATGTGTAGAAAATATTTTCATAAATTCAGATGTAAGATTGAACCCGCAGAGGCTCGTCAAAGGTCAGCGGAGTTTACCAATGACCTACAGATCATAATGGGTTGTATTTGTCATGGTTTGGGCAAGTCTTCAGTTTCAGCTCAGTTGGAGACCAGGAGGTGGGTCAAAATTGAGATACAAGACTCCAACAGAAACACAACCACACACACACACAAACACACACAAAGGGACAGAGTAATGTAAAGTAACCAGAGTATTTTTTTTTAATCCCTTATTCTAGATTTTAATATTCCTTTAACAAATTTCAAATATATTAAACTTAAATTGCATGTCAGACTCTACATATTTTTTAAAACTCAAATCAAATGTTGCCCTGGAAGCCTACTACGTCCGTCACCCACCTCTTGCTTCGCCTTACTCCGGGTATTACTTTGGCTTTCTTTACGGTCCAGCCAAAAATAAATAGAATGAAATTTAATAAACGACTACTTCTTTTCCTAAGGACAACAAGCCTTGGGAGTTTTGTGTTTGCACTTGATATTCAAAAAGTTTGCACTTAAACCGCGGGAAATCTTTTCAAGCCAGACCAAAGTTTGGGGTGCTGTACATTTCTAAAGTTGTAAGACTGGAATTTTCATCAACACAACTTGTTACGGAATTCCCATCAACCCAAAAATATCTTGACATTTGAATGAATGAAAAACGCCTTTTTTTGTTTTGCTTGTGCATCTTGCTTGAATTATTCAAATGTTTGAAAGACTGAGTGTGACAACAAAACAACACAAGCTGATGAATAAGTTTTAATAGAAAAAAACTCTCGGCAGTATTAATATGTATTCCCACGTTTCACCCTGCGCTAGCATTCATCATTCTATTAAAAAATAATATCGCTTTATGTTGTAGAGTTGAAAGATGAATAAAAGCTCTGCAGAGGCAACACGATGTATATTTATGTTCTCTAAAATATCCTTAAAACAACGCACATCATTTCAAATACTATACCCCTAACCCCCCCCCCCCCCCCCCCCCCCCCCCCCCCCCGACAGGCCCGCCCCACAAACCGTACAAAATTCGGATTACTAAATAAATAGTTATTTCTTAACCTTCTGTGCGCTGTTCAATATGTCTCCGAGTCAACAGATCACGTGAGACCCAAATCCTTGAATTTGGTGAAGTGCCAGGCCACTGTTTGTTCCTACCATATATCAATGACCAAGAAGCTGACCTTCTAAGCTAGATTGTTCGCAAACGACACGGCAGTGTCTAGGACAATAGTCTGGGACACATTTACCTAGAAGAGCATCGGCAGGCTGGAGGCGTTCCAGCGACGGGCAGCACGCTTTGTTCTGAACCGCTACGGAAACACCTCAAGTGTTGGCAGCAAGCTGGAAACACTGGGCTGGTCACCATTGGAGGAACGACGTCGACTATCCAGGCTCTCCATGTTGTACAAGATAAAAAAAATGGGCTGGTCCACTGCCCCGGCATTAAACAGAAACTCGTCCATCTCCCCCCTAGACAGCGACGAGGCCACGACAGGTAGTTCCGGCTTAATAAAATAAGAACTCAGTACAGGAGCTCCTCATTCGTGCCTAAGACAATAAAGGACTGGAACAAGCTGCAACAGTTGAGGCGACTACACTTGACACATGTGCGTCAATTGCCTCCTGTCTTCCAACCCCCAGTTCATAACACCACTGCTGAGTAGCCCTTGCAACCAGTGAAAACCATGCACAGTAAAATCGCGAACCCTTCAGAAACATAGGTGCCAGAATGATCAATCCATTGATCGTGGGCCCTCAAAATATAGAAGAAGAAGATGTCAAGGAAAATATATGAGGGACCAAGTTCAAGCCGTGCGAATAAATATGAAGTGGAATTAAATATGTTACGGCTTGAAAATATAAGACTGACGTTTAGACCAGATGCTTTCTTCGGCAGACAATACCAAACAAAAATAATAAATACTTAAAATAAAAAATATACACATTTTTTTTAAAATCTCAATAATATCAATTTCAATGTCACTAAATGTTTAGAGGAGGAATCCCAAACACGAGTGAGAAGGTCTCGAATTTTCCCCATACTGACCCCTGCAAATCCATTACGTGGTATTTCAATTGACACCGGGAAGTGTGTATGACGCTTCCTATTATTTTAAATTCCATAAGGTCTCACCGTTCTATTAGGTGCCATTACCTTTTTTTGTAATGGTTTTATTATGTTTATATTAATGAACTTAATTCGGCATAAGGGCACATGGTGACAAAAGCTATGACTATGTAAGAAATGGGATCATTAAAGCCAACACCAGCAAAAAAAAAGTTAGTTTTACACGCTTGGTTACATGAGAGACCCGAGACCTTGTAAGAGACCTTGTCAGGGTGGGTCGGTATGAGAATTATTCGACTTTTTAGATAGATTTTTGTGTGTGTGTGTGGGGGGGGGGGAGAGAGCAACGGTCTTATTCGATCACTTGATTGGGCGAAGGTCAATACAATTTAGTATTCAAAAAGAGCTTTAACATTAGTTAAGAATAAAATATGTATATGAGAATTATTCGACTTTTTAGATAGATTTGTGTGTGTGTGTGTGGGGGGGGGGAAAGGTTGGGGGGGGGGATATTTTTCATGCGGGTTATAGTAAAATTTGACCAGACTGGTGGTTTTGTTTATCAGAAGTTATGAGCATCTGGATATGCAAAAATATAACTATTTTAAATTTCTTGGTAACATGTATAATTCTTTTGACCGTCCAATTTTAATTATTCAAGATTTTTTTTCTTTCTACTCGCAAATCCATGGAGATATTTTTAAAAATAGAGGTCTTCTTTTCATGCTGGTCAGTAAAAAAACAATTAATTTAGTCTTACGACTGTAAGTCTGTAATTAACTCTGTAGATTTTAGGGAC